ATATTTATATCTATTTTCTTTCATCTTTTTCTTTCAGGTTCTTCCTTCTGGAGAGATAGTAGACTGTCTGACCACACTGCGCAAAGACAACACCGGCTACGATCTCAAGCAGCTCTTTATCGGAGCAGAGGGCACCCTGGGCATCATAACAGCTGTCAGCATTCTCTGCCCACAGCAGCCACGAGCGGTGAATGTCGCTCTTCTAGGTAGGTGAATGAATCAGCCAGCTCAACACACCAAATTCTCTCAGCATACATCAAGCAAAGCAAATCATCAAACCTTCCTGTAGACGAGACTTGGCTTAAGGATGGGCTTTGGGCAAGAATGAAAACTCGGTCCGTGCCTCAGCTGAAGGAACATCAAAAATACGCTTAAAGTCCATCAACAGTTGGAGGGAATTGGGCCGACAGAGCTCTAATAACGCAGGTCTAGAACATCTAATCCGAGAACCCCTGCGGCCAGTGAGTACAACTCCCTCGTAGAAGACCTCCTGCAACCTCACAATCAACTCAAAACTTGCAGTGTCTATGACAAAAACAGATCTACCTAATATGCGACGTGAAGCAGCTCTCGAGACTGTGCGCCGATTGCCTACGTCCGACCTCGATATCTTCACTGACGGCTACAGGTTATGTGGAGGAGGATACTGGTGTCTAGACAAATCTTCTGGGGAGGAAACATGCGTATCCGTGCCCGCGGGACTATACGGAAGTAGCTACCAAGCTGAAACTACCACCCTGCTCCGCGGACTGCAATGTCTCGAAAAACAACCATGTTTTCAAAGAATCCACATCTTCACAGACTCCCAATCAGTCAGTTGTTCAACACTTAATGTCCGGAGTGACTGCAGTTCGTACTGAGATAGAGGACAAAATGTGGACCACTATCTGCCAGTGCTGTGAAATCCACGGACACCTTCACATACAATGGATACCAGGACATTGCGACATCTACGGGAACGACCGAGCTGACGCCCTGGCCAACAAGGGAGGCCGCCTCGACCAGTCCAACACTCCAGTCGATATCGCGTCAGCAAGCTCGTGCATCTCGCATTACGTCATTGCCCACGCATGGGAGAAAGCGCGAGTGCACGACTCTGTCGGGGGAAAGGTGAAGCCACCACCGGAGAGGGACAAAGAGAAAGACCTTACCGTCAGACAGAGAAGAGTGTTATCACAGCTAAGATGCAACGCGAAGAGCCCCATCCTGCAGACGTATCTCCATGCAATAGGCTCCGCTCCCAATGATTCCTGTCTGGTGTGTGGCACAAGTCCTGACGACCTACAGCACGCACTGTATGAGTGCCCGCGGGGGGAAGAACATCGAGACCCACTTATGGAGAGCAACGCGAGACCGGGCCCAGATGTACTCTGGACGAGGCCACAAGAGGTTGCCGCTTACCTGTCTGCCTGCGGCAGACTGCCGCCTTCTTAACGGAGGCCAGCCAGAAGAAGAAGAAGAAGAAAAATGGCCCCGGTTGTTTTTCCGAAGGACACAACATCCTGAGCATGCTAACAGGTTGGGGTTTTTTAAAATTTCAACTGAGATAAAAACATTACCTACATGAAATTAATTTCAAGAAGTTTCATTCATTCATTCATTTCTTAATAATAATAAGTTGTAGTGGATGTCTGTCCTTGTCATGACGAAAGATCTTTATTAAAGATTAGCAGTACACCATCAGCAATGGTTTACAAAAATAAAAAGTTGGCCTATTCCTGACAGTTACATGGTTACAGCATGATGCCATCGAAATGCAGCAGGATACTCATTGTATGGCTACCAATGTAAGACAATGGATCATCATGCTTTCTGCTGCCTTGCACTGAACAAGGTCAGGGACTTGCTCATCATTCTTTGGAGACCAGACACAGTGAGCTCACTCAAAAGGACAACTTTACAGCACTTTATGACCCAGAACTAAAGGGAGAAGAACCTTTCTTCCTTTCTTTGCTTGATCGATGTGATGTTTTGGATGTTACGACACACAGACTTGATCTAAGTTCATAACAATATAACAGGCACAACTGGTTTCTTGCCTGGTCAAACACCAATTGATGACCAAGATCCTTTATTGCGTACAAACACAGAGGTACAGGAACAGGTAATCGAGTAAATGCTATATAAAGATAAACTTGTTGAGCATGAGTAATGTGTATAAAGTAATTAAAGTGCACTAAATAGTGATTTCCTGACAAATCAGTGACAACAACGCAACAGCAACAACATGACATGACTTGAAAACAGTTTACACAAACTTGTAGGCCGATGCCTGTTTTCTGGATCTAGTTAGGCTTGAGTCAATGTCAATTCTGATGATCTGAAGTCTAGACTCTGGGGTTGTTCATCACTGCAGAATGTGATCATTGCGGACTGGCCGACTGACATTGTGACATTGCTAGAATTTTGTATATTATATCATTTTTGTATCCTCCGTAGTGTAGAATAGCTTGTTTTGCTTTGGCTTAACTGCAGTTGGGCAGTGGAATAAGCTAATATATATGTGTAGTGAGCTTGCTGGGATCTCATTTTGTATCACTACAAGGTACGTTGGTTAATTGTATACTGTAAGCATTTTGAGAGAAAAAGAAAGGGAACAAATTTAAGTAATTGGATATGTCATTAATTTTGTTTAAATGATAAGGATAATGATGATAATAATGATGATGATAATAATAATCATGATAGTCGTTATCATCATCATCATTATTATTATTATCATCATCATTATGGATTGCATTTATGTAGTGAAGATTCCCACTAGTACTAGAAAAAAGCTTAATGCATTTTACAATTTATTAAAACCCTGATAGACCCCGTGGCTATAACCTTCTAAAACATGTTGGAATAGGGCTGTCAACACAGGGACGCAGTGTACTTTCCCCCATCCCCACCCCTACTTTGCTAGTACTGTTTTGAAATGTTAATGTCTGGTATCAATTAAAGCAGTCTGGGCTTATCTCATGAGGAGTCCAAACCATTTTCAACTTTCCTGCCCTCCCCCACCCCCCACCCTCCTGTTCTTTTGTTTATGACAGTTAGATGAATTGGGGTATTATTAATTAGTCTAGAACCAGAGGCCTCCATACATGATACAATCATACATAATTATCCATTATTCACCTTTTTTTTTTCCCCCTTGTGCAATCATAAAGCAGCCCCAGATGAAGGCTGTTCCTTTCAAAGACGCCAGTGTATTTGCGCCAGTGCTGTGCCGGTAGTTTCTTCTCTTTCTTTCTTTTTTTTTTCTGAATTCCACTATGCACAGTAACTATAGAGTCGACACTAAGTGAAGTCCATGCGCATCCTTTTCATATTTTCTGTTCTTCAGTCTTCATAAAGAACTAAATATTAACGAAAACTGGAATCAGAGCAATAGTATGTTTTAAGGAGGAATTTGTTTTTTTTTAAGCTAATTAGAAATTATAAGTAGACTCTGCTGTCCTGTTTTTCACAATACGTGGAGCTTGCTAGTGGAATAGAGGTTTCATAGGGGTGAAAGCCCCTGTCATTAGGTTAACAGTTTCTCAAATGAGTTAAGGCTAAGGGTTAGGGAATGAAATAGATTAAAAATTTCTACAGTGCTGTATTTGTGGCAGGAAAAGACTGATTATGTTTGAATCAATGGGAACTAGGTATGCTTGATATCATTATGATTTCTGTGTACTATTTTGTGTACTATGTGCGCCAGTGCTGTACCGTTGTTTCTTCTCTTTCTTTTTTTTTTTCTGAATTCTACTTCGAGTTTTGGTCTTGATGTGTCTTCAAAGACTTTTTGAAATTTCATTTTCTGATTGTGAATCGCGATTTTGTTCTTAACTTTGGAGAGTTTTTATCATCTTTGGGTTGTGGTTTGCCCTTTGAGTTTTGGCCCTTTGTAATGTTGGGGTTTACTTTAAATAGAACTTATGTTCTAACTCTTCTGTTGCTTTTTTAAAAACTGAGGTTTTGTTTGGAAGTGTTTCTATATCTTTCTTTTTTTTTATGTGGTGGCACTCTTTCACTTTGTGGAGTTTGGTTTGAAATTTCTTATTCATGGTGATGTATGTAAGAACTTTGGTATTTTGGGTTTGGTTTTATTGGTGTTCATTACTCTACAGAGTTTTTTTTTTTCAGCTTTGTTGATTAGTGTTGAACATAAATTTTCCTGGTTTTCTTTTTCAAGGCTGTGCCTCTTTCAACGATGTTGTGAGTGTTTTCAAGTCAAGCAAGTCCCACCTGGGTGAAGTTCTGTCAGCATTTGAGTTCATGGACTCCCATACAATGCAGCTGATGAAAGAAAATCTGCACTTGTCCTGCCCATTGCCTGATTTCCCATTCTACGCCCTAGTGGAATGCAGCGGCTCCAATGGCGCACACGATGAGGAAAAGTTGATGGGTTTTTTGGAGTACACCCTGGAGACTGGGGAGGCTCTAGACGGCACTGTGGCCACTGACATGACCAAAATACAGGTACACTTGATGTATCTGTTTTATTTTGTGTTTATTGTCACTGTCTTGTGTCTGCGTTACTTTGGGTGTCTTCTGGTCTGTGCATGATGCTTTGTGTATTCTAAATGTATTGCAAGTACTGTAAAACGCTTACTTAAACAGTGGGTGGTTGGCGAGTGCTCTAGTGGGGTTTAAGTACTGTAAAATGCTTACTTAAACAGTGGGTGGTTGGTGGGTGCTCTGGTGAGGTTTGCTTCTTCTTTCTTTTCAAACATTTCTCTTGTAACTCTTCTAATCTTCAGCACTTACATGACCCTATTGTGTTGCAAGTGCCGTAAAACACTTACTAAAACTTAAAGTACTTAAACAACAACAAAAAAATGTCTGTTTTCAGAACATCTGGGGTCTGCGAGAGCGTTGCGCTGAGGCCCTGATGCATGATGGGTACAACTACAAGTACGACGTCTCCCTGCCCCTGTCCAACTTCTACCAGCTGGTGGAGGACATGAGAGAGAGGCTGGAGGGGAACGCCATACGCGTGGTGGCATACGGTCATTTGGGAGATGGTATGTGTGCAATATTGAGCTTGCTGTTGAATGGGGATATGTGCTATAGAAATGTTATTTCTTCTTCTTTTTCTTCTTGATATTATTATTGTACTCATTTCATGTGTCATTGTTTACTAACAGGAGGGGGGTGGATTTAAAAGAAAAATTAATTAGATTAGGTAGCGTAAACACGGCCTCGCGGGCACTCGCGGCCTTCCAACCGCGTGGTATCGGTAAAATCGGGTTAATTCCGATCGCTCTTTCTTTGCTCTTTCGCTATAAAACACCAAATGCCGTACACCTTGTAAAAGTTCAGCTTTTCCTCGTTACAATGGTGTAAGTTGTTTATATGTCCGATTATTAGGAGCTGGAGAATCGCCAACGAAAGCGAAGCCCCTCGCGGTCAGAATGCGAGGTCGGCCGGTTGAAAAATTGACACGCGTGCATTCAAATGCTTCGCGGAACGAGGGATGATTAAATACCGTCTTTTCATTGGCGGAGAACTGTAGAGCTTTAAACGGGCTTTCTCGTGATATAAGATTAGCCTTTGGCGTCTTTATAGAAAGCTTTTAAAAACACCGTCAAAATGTTTAAAGATCACTTTTTACACAAAATATGTAAAATACCGGCCTATAAAAAATATTAATTAAAAGATCAGTTTATTTCCTATTCGAATAAAGTATAGTAATTAAATTGGAATTATTTTACATCAATCCTTCCGCGAGACTCAGAAAGCATGTGACCCGCACACGGGGTACACTACAGTATAGAGCCGACTCGCTCGCCGCAGGGGCCGGTGCGACGCCGGCCGGGTCAACGCTCGGTGTTTTTGTCGAAATAACGACAGATATCGTGTTTGAGGTGATAAAGTACTGATTTGTAAATATCTCACAGTCTTGAAAAAAATTATGCTCCATATATTTGTTATAGTGATTGTACTCTGTTAATGTGGAGATGTTTAGTGCACTTGTTACTTTTTTATTGTCTGTCAAACATGGGGTTGCAGCCAGTGACTGACTTTAACAAATTTGATCAAATTAAAAATTGACGGAGAGGTTAAAGAATGGTACCAAAATGCTCAGTGGATATAGGCCTTTCAAATGAAACAGATAAATTTGGCATACAGCTAGTTTGAAAATTTAGTTTCTGGTACCTAATTAGATTTTGTTTGCCTATTCTTGGATTTTTCCAGTAATTTTTTTTTCCAACATGTTCATCAAGTTTTTGAAAGGAAATTGTTCTAGCTGTGGTTATGTTACCCCCTACCAGACTCGTACATTAGTTTTTGTTCGATGTAATATGCAGATATCAGGATTAACAATGGACATTTTGTCTGAGCTGTATTGTGTGACCTTTTACTTTTACTTTAGCTTATGTTTTATGTCAAGGTCAGAATTAATAATAATAAGCGAGAAACTTTTTTCGCTTTGAGGATGTGGCCCTCTCCTTGACTTCTACTTTCACTTTTTTTCTCATGATAAATATTGTTCTTTTATATCTCTATGGTCATGTGCACTCCAACATGAGTTTTTGTTTATTGTCTAGATAGGATTGAGAGAGAATTTTTACTATCTCTTATTTATGTTCTATGACTTTATCACGATTGAGATTGAAATTTTTCTCTACAATTTGTGGTCATGTGACCTCCTGAATTAGTCGTCGTCGTTCTATGTCTAGATCAGGATCAACAAAGGAAACTTTCTAGAGCTGTATAGTGTAATAACTATTTTACTTTTTTGTTACTTCATACATTAGTTTTTGCATTTGTTCTATTTTCTATATCTATGTCACAGTCACAGTTAAGAAAGAAACTTTTCTGTGGGTGATTGGCAGGTGCCTTGGCGAGGTTTGCTCCTTTTTTCCTATCAAACATCTGTCATTGTTGTCTCACCTTCTTTTTTGTGTTTGTTCCTCTCTCATAACATTTAGGTACTTATATGACCTAATTGTATTGCAAGTGCCATGAAAACTCTCATCAAAACAAAAAGAAACCCCATTTTTCTGAGCAAAAAAACTCAAAAAATGTTTCTGTGCTGTGGTCATGTGACCTCCCGTATGTCCCCCCAGGCAACCTTCACCTGAACATGACCACAGCTAAGTACGAGCCAACCACCATGGCCCTGATTGAGCCCTTCATCTACGACTGGGTGTCTCAACAACGGGGCAGTGTCAGCGCTGAGCATGGGCTGGGCTTCAAGAAGAGGGATTTCATCTACCACAGCAAGTCCCCGGCCGCCGTGCGTCTTATGGCCACCATCAAGCGAGCCCTTGACCCCAAAGGCATCATGAACCCGTACAAAGTGCTGCCTGCGGGGCTGGAGTAGAGGCACTCACGTTTGTTGGTCTGTTTGTTTGTTTGAGTAAAGAGAAGCACATCGACACAACAATCTAGGCAAAGCAGTCTTACTCTGTCAAAGCTTTGAGAGCAATGAAAGAAGAATGTTGTTAATGTTATTGTGATAGAGCTCTGTCTCAGGGCTTTTGTTACTGTATCCGCAGGCAGAAATCCACATGATGTATGCGAGCTTGTCATTTTTTACTACAGAAGTACTCTTGTACTTCGATGATCTAGTCTTGTTTTATATTTGCAGTTAATCAGGTCACAAGTGCTTCTTCCAGTGCGGACTGTATCATGTAGTAGAATGTTTCCTAGATAGTATGTCCTGTTAAATTTATTAATCCAGTTTTCTATTTGCCATGTGTTCTGAATACTGAATATCAATGAACTTGGTATTAATAGTATTCATTGTCTATTTGTGCACTTTGAATACTATTGTTATTATGCCGTCTGTTTTTCGTGTGTTTTGAATGTTCACTGTGTTGTATTTTTGCATTGTTTTAATTATCATCATTGCGGAATCTGTTGGCGTATTTTTAAATTTGTTTGCTGTGTATTTTGAAAAAAATATTGTCATTGTGATGTCTTTTTGCGGTATGATCTGATTATCATTGCATGGTCAGTTTGTGACTGCTGAATGTCCCTGTGAAATCTGCCTCTGCACAACCCTGTATTACTCCTGTTATCCATGGTGCTTATGCTCAAATCAAATCTATTGTAATACATTGTGTGGACCAGACATGTTTTCATTTTCCAGTGATCTGGTTTTGTTTTGTTAAAATGCTTGATGGCTTTGACAGCTGTGAGGAAAATGCACCACTTGTCATGCAGACTGACACTTCTTACTCCAGTGAGAATTGTGTTTCTGGCATATGGTATAGATTACCATTTATTTTATTTATGCTACTTTCAACACATTTTGATCTTTTAAATTTTGACTGCTCTTTGTGGCATTGGTATTCCAGAGGTCGTGGGTTTGGGGGTTTGGGGCTCAGGTCTAAAGTTGTTTCCTTGGGAAAGGCACTCAACACAATTTTTTTTACTTCATCATGGCTATAGACAGCCAAAGATCTTTTCAATATGTTAGTGTTTTAGCACCTATGAAATGGCAGCTTGCACTGTATGGTTCCCAGGAAGTAGCGATTTGTTTCAGAATGCTATGAAGTCTGCTGGGGCAATTATAATATAGATTGTAAACAGTAAAGCCCATAGAGCTTGCTGTTGAGCAGGAATTTGCGCTATACAAATACTGTTTATTATTACCTGAATAGGTCTGAGACTGAACCAATGGCTTGGAAAGTTCTTGCAAAAATACAGTGTTATTCTAGTGACCTGAAATTAAAGGTGAACTGACTCCTACACAGCCTGTCTCCTTGTTTGTTTTAGTGTTTTATGACACTCGCAACACAATAAGGTCACATAAGGCCTGTCTCCATCTGTCAGGATGAATGCTTGAGTACCGGTACCATTAAGTGCAAAGGACAAGGGATAGAAACAGAAGTAACAATGGCAAAGGTTAGAAGTAGAGTCCACCATTGAAGGCTTATGACATTGTGACTGAAGTGAATGATCAAAGAGCTCAAACTGTGGTATAACTCTTTGTATTCTCCTGGGTAATAAATTGACTTGTACTATCTCCCAGTGATTTGTTTGGAGAAGCGGAAGCACATTGATACAGTAATAGTTTCTTTCAGTACATGGAAAATTGCAAGACAGAAACAAAAAATGTCTTTTAGTTTTAATAGGAGCTTTAGGCACTTGCAACACAAACAGGTCATGTAAGTGCCGAAGATCAGAGGAGTTATAAGAAAGTAACATCCAAAGAAAAGGAGGAGAGATAAGGACAATAGATTTTTGATAGAAGAGAAGGAGTAAACAACACTAGAGGATCGACCAACCGCCCACCCTGTGCTCTGAAATTTTAGAGCAGATGTTGATGTCAACAAAAAGACAAAAAGGCCCAAAATTGTTGTGTACAATCTGAAAGACAAAGTTTAATGGACACCTCCAACGCACAGTTCCCAGTACATAAATGCCCTGTGTTGGCAACGAAGCAATTTATTTCATGTCTACAATATACTGAAATCTTTCTCTCGCACATGCTCAAATTACACAAGCAAGTTTGCTCTTTCACATCCACAGATAGGCCATGTGATGTGTATACAAGAAATGTACATTTTTAAAGTGTTACAAATGTCCATCCGATGTGCACACACAGTCCTTTTATGACACATACGAGTACTTGCATCCAACATAATATAGGCTTACTCGCACGTAAAATTATCAAGCCATGCACAAACATAAATCTTCCCACCATTCTTCAAACAGAATCCTTCAAACTTTGTCAGCACTCAAATACTACCACTCTAATGGCCAGATTTTGTTGCATATATACCATCACTTCATTCACCAAATCTCACCAACACAAGGACCAAACCTAGAAAATATTCACAAACAGTATAATACATTAAAGAAACTACATTTTGTAAACATGAAAAAAAATAACTGCATAAAACAGAAGTTTCTACCATACAGTACAGTAGGAACTAAAACGTATGACTTAGACAAATCAAACATGAGTACAAGACAGCAGAGAAGGAAAATTCTACGAAACAGAAAAAACCCCAAAAGATTCAACCAGTGGATTGGAAAGACAAACCTGTCGTTCTACATGGTCAATGGGGATCATGGGGAAAATTCAAGAATAAAAAACCTAGTCAGTTTGAGCAAAGATAATTGTTCTACTTGCACAAAGCATTATACTCTTCAGACGACTTCTCTAGCCTGTAAGCCATGAAGATCATTAGAAGCATGATGTGAACAAACCATTACTTGCGTTATTGTTGGTAAAATTACAAGTTTTTTGGGGGGTTTTATGGATTGAAAACATAGCACGGGAACAGGGCAAAGAGGAAGTAAAAGAGGTGAGTCCACATTCACTTGAAAAGAAAGTACCAGCAACACAGAAGAGAAAAATTCCATTATTATTCTGAGAGCAAAAAAATATATATTTCTCTATCATTAAAAAAAACAGTTAAAAAGGGTGTTTCTGAGAATGGGAATCTGACATGTCCCCCGTTGAGAGGAAGGGAAACAAGCCAGTGATTGATGGGAAGGAAAAAAGAAAAAAAATTGTAATACCGATGTTAATGTTTTACCCTTCCATATCAAAATTTACATCATTTATGAGGTAAGCAATGCCTGTCGGGGCTAACCCAGGATGAGATGGAAACAACATCCCAACAGATAGAGATACTCCATAGAAAAACTTCCCCACTCCAGAAATAAATTCATCTCTTTTTGCACGCATCGGCGAAGAGCCTAACCAGTAAATTATGCCACAGCCACCTATGAACTGCTGGGACCACAGCACCAGCAACATGTATTACAAAAACAAGGAGAGAATCCCACCATCAGTAGGGTCACTTTGGAAACATCAGTCCGTCATAAATATTAAATAACAAAAAGCAGGAGGACTTTTTGCAAACACACCATAAGCACAGACACTTGGTAACGACTGGGAGCCACCCAGTATGAGTGTGGGTGTGAGCAAGGATTTGTCTTTGTGTATGGTAGCCTACTTTTGCTATGTGTGTGTGTGCATGTTATATGAGGGTGAGAGTTTGCCCATCTGAGCCCGAAAGCGCCTACTTCTTAACTTTGATGTGGCCGAGTCGACCACTGTGTGAGTGTGTGTAACTAAGAAGTGTAAGTTTATGATGAGTGCGTGAGTGTGTGTGTGCATATGTAATTGCCTGTATGTCAAAATGAGTGTGTCTGTGAGAGAGAGAGAGAGAGAGAGAGAGGGAGTCTACTTCTAGTCCCTGATGTGTCCATTGTAGGCGGAGGAGTGTGTGTGTGTGTGTGTGTGTGTGTGTGTGTGTGTGTGTGCATGCATGTGGCGTGTGTGTGTGTGCATGCATGTGGCGTGTGTGTGTGTGTGAGCGTGTAGAAAGGTCTATTTCCAGACTTTGATGTGACCATTGCGAGCAGCTGAGATGACAAGAGTCTGTGTGCTGTGGCAGAGAGTGATGTCGCTGACAGTGTCCTGGTGTGCGGGTGGCGGTGCACTGTGCATGGTGTGCATCTCGCGATCGTTCTCTGACTTGTCCAGTGGCTCTCGCTGGTTCTCCTGCTCCTGGATTACCTCTGAGCCCTCCATCAGCTGGGACCTGAGTGGCACAGACAGTTTTAGTTTTATTTTAAGTTTTATGGCATTTGCAACACTATTAGGTCATATAAGTGCTGAAGACTATAGGTGTTATTAGAGAGTAGCATACAAAGAAAAAACAAAGGAGAGACACAGCAAAGACAGTTTTAATTTTAGTTTTAGCAAGAGTTTGTTTTGTTTTAGTAAGTGTTTTAGCAAGAGTATTACGGCAATTGCAACACAAATAGGTCATATAAGTGCTGAAGTGTACAGGCATTACTTGAGAGTAACATACAAAATTTGTTTTCGTTTCAGTTTTATTTTTACTGCACTTGCAACACAATTAGGTCATAAAAATATCGAAGATTAGAAGTGTAACAAGAGACTTAAAAAACACAAAAAAGAAGGAGAGATGAGGACGATAGATCTTATTGCACATTGAACAGACAACAGATGATCGGAGGGTGCCACTGGTAGGTCTTGGTCTTATTTCTTTTCTCTTTTTCTTATCTTTTACTTGCTTTTTTCCCCAGGACACTAAATGACCATCGTTGTGCCGGCCTATGCGCTTCTCTATAATCAAACAAACAAATACAGAACACAGAGAGGAACCATCACTGAATAAAGAGCTGACCTGTAGTTGAAGGAGTTGCGGGCGTCCTCCATACTGTCGCTGAAACAGACGGAGTGCGCCGGGTAGCTGAGGTCCCAGAAGCGTAGTCGCATGTCCGTACCCCCGGTCAGAACAAATGGCTTGGACTCTGTGCTCCCGACGTACAAACCACACACACCCTCCTCCTCCTGGCTCTTGTTTTGCTGAGGAAATACAACAACACATTCAGTTAGTACTACTAGTTTTAGTAGAGTTTTACAGCGCTTGCAACACAAATAGGTCATACAAGTGCTAAATATTAGAAAGTTTAGTTTTAGTAAGAGTCTTATGGCACTTGCAACACAGTAAGGTCATATAAGAGCCGAAGATTAGAGGTATTAAAAGAGAGTAACACACACAAAAAAGAAGGAGGGGAGATCAGGACGATAGATGTTTGACAGGAAAGAAGGAGCAAACCACACCAGAGCGCTCGCCAACCACCCACTAAATATTAGAAAAAGATTTAGGTAATAAAGAGTAACATACAAAGAAAAGAAGAAGGAGATTTAAGCACCCACCATCCAACCACACATTCAGTAAGTTTAGTGGTGAGTATAGTGGTCATGTATGACTCAAACAGTGAAGAAAGGTGAGTATGTGAGTGACATATACTGGAGTAGTAGAAAGGCAGTGTGTGTGAATAATAGAAAAGAGGGGCAGTGAGTGTGTGCGTGTGTGTGTGTGTGCGTGTGTGTGTGTGTGCGTGTGTAAGAGAGATTCCCCTTACTGTAAGTGAGGGGAAGAGTGTGTATGTGTGTATGCGAATCACCTTTGTGTAGGTGAGGGGCAGAATGTGTATGTGTGAGTGTGAAGGCATGTGCCTGTACAAAGATGTTTGTGCGTGTATGGGTGTGCGTGCGTGTGAGAGACTCACCTTGGTGTAGGTGAGGGGAGGAGAGCGGCTGGGCCACAGTGTCTTCTGCCTCTGCCGTGTCTCGGCGTCCCACATGGAGACCTCGCTGTGCCAGTTGAAGGAGGCCACAAGCCACGACTGTTCGCTCGGGTGCATGGCCACACGACGCACACGGCGGCCTGTCGGGAAAATACACATTTTAAAAAATTTGTTTTTTAAAGTAAGAGTTTTACGGCACTTGCAACACAATAAGGTCATATATAAGTGCTGGAGAGTAGAGGTGTTACAAAAGTGTAACAAACACAAAAAAGAAGGAGGGGAGATAAAGACGATAGATGTTTGAAAGGAAAATAAGGAGCAAACCACACCAGACACACAGACAGACACACATTTAGACAGACACACAGAGAGTCATTTCATGCTTCAGTTTTCGTAAGTGTTTTACAGCACTTCCCACACAAGTTGGTCATTTAATTGAGTTCTTTTTTTAAAAATTATAGTAGAGGGTTTTACGGCGCTCGCAACTGCATAAGGCCATATGAGCGCCAAGGGGTGGGTGTCAACAGAGAAGTCTTTACAGGGAATCAGACTTAGACTGCTCACCACTCTAGCTTCAACAGCACAAGGTCTGCTCGACTATCAAGGCACCCCAAAATAGCAGGTCACAAGAGAGTGACAAACATACTCAAGAAGTAGAGGCAAATGACAATAGTAAGGATGAGAGGAAAAAAAGCAGCATTTCCCTGTTGTAGATCAGGCACAGTTATGAGCGTGACATGAGTCAGCCCATTTACAATTCTACTATGCTTGAACGAGAAATGTCCCCCCTTTTGCGAATGGCCTAAAGACACTTCAGTCAGTGGCACTGCCCCGGGGGGAGTTAATTGAGTTTGAATTTGACAAAGAGAAGCACATTGACACAATAACGGTCACATAATGCAGAGCAGGAGAAAGAAAGAGAGAAAGGAAGTGGCCCCTTGTACAGGTGATTATCTTATATGAATGGCCGTTAGAGCAGGTTCGAATGTACTGTGTTCACCCCTTCATATACCCCCCAACCCTTTCCCACATGCACTAACCTGAGGGGTGATGTATCCTGTTGATGGGCATGCGGAACCTCATGTCCCAGCACACCAGGGTGCTGCTGTAAGTGCCAACAGCCAGCCAGCTCTGCGATTGGTTGACGGCAAAGCTGGTGATGAGGCCGTCGCGTGGGTCGTTACGCAGGGTCCAGGCTGGGCCGGGAGCCCGGAGGTCCCAGCCGAACATGTGACCAGAGACCGTCGCGTAGGTCAGCACAGACTGGGCACCTGGGGGGTGGGGGGTGAGGGGGAGAAGATAGCCTTAGTGTTTTACGGCACTTGCAACACAATAAGGTTATATAAGTGCCGAAGATTAGAGGTGTTACAAGAGAGTAACAAACACAAAAAAGGAGGGGAGATAAAGACGATAGATGTTTCATAGGAAAGAAGAAGCAAACCACACCAGAGCAGCTGCTAACCACCCACGGGAAAGAGATAAGAGGTTTTACATGTAAATTAGTTTAAGTAAAAATTTTACTGCCACTTGCTACCCAATTAGGTCATAGAAGTGTGTAGGTTACAACACAAGACAGTAGTGTGTGTAGTTCATGAAACAGGTATGTGTTGGTTACAAAACAGAGAGGTGTTTAGTTTTAGCACAGGCTTTAAGGTCATATGAGCGCCAGAAGATTAGAGGTGTTACAAGAGAGTAACAAACAAAAAAGAAGAAGAGGAGATAAGGACGATAGATGTTTGATAGGAAAGAAGAAGCAAACCACACCAGAGCACCCACCAACCACCCAAACAGACAGGTGCGTGTGTGGGAGTCATGTAATAGTTGTGTGTAGGTCATGACATAGGTATGGGTAGGTTATGAAACAGGTGTATGTAGGTTACAAAAAAATGGTAGATCTATGTGTAGGTCATAAAACAGGTGTGCAAGTCACAAAATAGATGTAGGTAGGTTACAAAAAGGGTGTGTAGGTCATGAAAAAGGTGTGTAAGTTACAAAGCAGGTGTGTGTTCGCTGTGAAATATGTATATGTAGGTCACAAAACAGGTGTGCCTTTATCACATATGTGTTTGTCACAAAACGGATGTGTTGTTTTCGCCATGAAACAGGTGTGTGTGTGTGTGTGTGTGTGTATGTGTGTGGGTGGGTGACAACACAGGCGTGTGTGTGTAGTACCTGCATCAAAGTGAGCCATGTCCATGATCTGTCCGTACGTGTCGTGGTCCACGGAGATAGACGTATCTGACTGCACTGCCCCACTGTCCAGCCTGGCAACACACAAGACACATGAGAATACACTTTTTTTTTTAAAACCCCCCCCCCCCCCCTCAAAAAAAAAAACCAAAAAAAACCACAAGACATGAACAAACATGTAAGGAAAAAACATGACTGGAGAACAGAAAAAAAGGTAAGAGGAGAACACTTTTTTTGGATCAAAATTTTTTTCATCCATCGTTGTCAGGTTTTTTTAGTTTTAGTAAGTGTTTTACAGCACTTGCAGCACAATGAGGTCACATAAGTGCCGAAGATTAGAAGTGTTACAGGAGAGGAACAAACACAAAAAAGAAGGTGGGGAGATAAGAATGATAGGTGTTTGATGGGAAAGAAGGAGCAAACCACACCAGAGCACCCGCCAACCACCCACATTGACACGTTTGTTTTAGTAAAGGTTTTACGGCGTCAGCAACTGCATAAGGTCATATGAGCGCCAAAGGGTGGATGTAAAACAGAAAAGTCTTTACAAGGAATCAGGCTTACTCTGCTCACCTCTCTAGCTTCAACAGCACAAAATCTGCTTTGATTATCAAGGCACCCTGGAAATTGCGGGTCACAAGAGTGTGACAAACATACAAAAGAAGTAGAAGAAAAATGATGATAGTAAGGATTAGGAAAGAAAAAGCAGCAGTTCCCTGTTGCAGTTCAGGCACAGTTATGAGAATGGCATCGATGCATTAGCCCATTTACAATTCTACTATGCATAAGAACAGGTTAATGCCCCCCCTTTGGTGGGAACGGCCAAAAGACACTTCAGTCTGTAGCACCGCCCCGGGGGTCATTGTCAGGTTTCAAACCACGGACCTTTTGAATGAGAGGTCAACACCCTACCTCTAGACCACAAGGGTCCCCCCCCCACCTTAACTGTGACAGGGGAGACAAGACTAACGTCAATAGCCAAGTACCTGTAAACCTTGATGGAGTTGTTGTCTGAGGCACAAGCCACTGCACTAGACCGCTCCAGGAAGGCCACAGACTTGATTTTACCTCCTGAGGGAATAAAGAAAACAGCAGTCAGTCATGCTTGATGCATCCCTGTAAGTGTGAAAAGACGCACATCAACACAAGAACAGTCGTTTAATGCAGGGGGGGGGGGGGGAGGAAGACATACACACAGAAACAATAGCGGAAAGAGAAGAGGTAGAGCCTACTCGTGTCACCCTCCAACCATCCCCCTCTTTGCACGTCAAAATCATTAAGGACTAACGAGGCATTCCATGGTCTGAACACATCACCCCATCAAAAGTCACAAAAATATTCAAAGAGAAAATAAGAAAAGTAAGATGTCTGTTTCCTCTTTCCTTTTTCTTCCTCTCTCACTCACCTCAACTCTTTATTTTTTCTCATTTCACTCTTCCACCTCTCTCCTCCTCACTTCTTTTCCTTTTCCTCTTTCTCCTCCCCATTTCTTCTCCATTCCCGCTTCCCTTTCTTCTATCTTCTCCTATCTTCCTTGTAACTTCCCCTCCCCCCAACCAACTCTCAACATTTATCCTCCCACCCCAATCCTTATCCAAAAAGAAAGGATAAAACCAACAAAACTACAGTGGCAATGGAATGCAGATTTCAGACTCCCATAAAGTCTCCTCACCTTGTTTATTGAGTGACACCTTGGAGCGGTTGGCGGCTGTCTTTCCCTCCAGCTTGCCACTCTCCCAAATTCGTACCGTGCCGTCGTTGGAGCAGCTGGCAAACAGACGGTGGTCGTGGCTCACACTCAACCTGGAGAAGCACAGCTTTTTGCGTGAGTAAAGAGGAGCAACTTGATACAATAAAGGTCATTTAGTGCAGTTTGAGTAAAGAGAAGAACATTGACATGATAACAATCATTAAGTGCAATTTGAGTTTGAGTAAAGATAACACAGAGACAACAGCAGTCATATATAACTTAGAGTAGGGAAAGAGCGAGATGAACAGAAACAACAGAGGAAAGGAACCAAGTAGGACCCTCCAGTGGTGCCTTCCAACCTGGACACAGATTTATAAGCAAGTTTCCGCAATGGGTGAATTTGAGTGTACTGTGGGTTATCTATGGTAGTTCATATGGTATTCTGGAGACTTGTATTGACAAAAAAAAAGTTGTCCTGATAACAGCACATACACATTAATTTGCCCACACATACATAAACTTGCATGCTCAAACACAGACAGAACATTTACAAAGACACATACATACACATAAACATAAAAGCACAAATAAACAAACTCACACACAAACATAGATGCACAAAAACAGGGTGACACATGAATACAAACGTACAAACACAGATAAACATAGACGCACATAGAAAGACAGATACACACACACACATATAAACATAGTTTTTGTTTAGTAGAGGTTTTTTACGGCGTTCGCAACTGCAAAAGGTCATATGAGCGCCAAGGGGTGGATGTCAACAGAGAAGTCCTCACAGGGAATCGGGCTTACTCTGCTCACCTCCTTAGCTTCAATAGCACAAAGTCTGCTTCGACTATTAAGGCACCCCGGAAATAGCGGGTCACAGAAGTGTGACAAACATACAAAAGTAGAGGAATGATGATAGTAAGGAATAGGGGAAAAAAGCAGCAGTTCCCTGTTGCAGTTCAGGAACAGTTATGAGCATGACATTCTACTGTGCATAAGAACAGGTTAATGTCCCCCTTTGGGAATGGCCTAAGGACAATAAACATAAATGCATAAACATGTAATACATAAACACTTACACTTAGAAGCACAAACAGGAACACACAAATATACAAGATACACAAACACAATTATACAAACACAGACAAACACATAGTCATACTAATTAGACACACAGACAGACATACAGACTCGAAAGCAAATATTGAAACATAGTCACACATGCAAACACTGATTCACACACACAAACAAAAACATGCCCACAAACAAGAATACACACACACACACACACAAACAAGAACACACACACACACATACAAACACACACACCTGTTAATGGCGGCCCTGTGCTCCTGTAGGTGTGCCACCAGCACCCCCTTGGGTCTCCACGAGTCAGCCGGCCGGTGAGCATCCCAGGCCATGCCCGAGATGGCATCGGTGGACAGGATGTCGTCCTCAAACTGGGCGCGCCGGTGATGCACCAGGTCACGCAACTCCCACTTGCACTTGGCGTACCGAGTGACCACTGCATGGACACAACACAGAAGACATAGAGTGTCAAGACACTGGACGTGGATGACTATTACTTTTTTTTTTTTCGTAAGAGTTTTACAGCACATGCAACACAATAAGGTCATTTATGTGCCGAAGATTAGTGGCGTTACAAGGGAGTAACAAACACAAAAAAGGAGGAGAGGTTTTTTTTTAGTAGAGGTTTTAAGGCACTAGCAACTGCCTAAGGTCATATGAGCGCCAGAAGATTAGAGGTGTTAAAAGAGAGTAACAAACACAAAAAAGGAGGGGAGATAAAGACGATGGATGCTTGATAGGAAAGAAGAAACAAACTACACCAGAGCACCCGCAAACCACCCACGACATGGGATGTCAAGACACTGGACATAGATGGCTATCACTTTTGACTGGTGGGTGCAAGACTTTTGACTGGTGGGTGCAAGACTCTTGTCATATGTCACTTTTCCACTTATGGCTTATGGTAGACTCTTACACTAAACAGTCTCTTTGTTTTCACTTGTTTGAGTATGAGAAACACATTCATTGACACTGTAACTGTCATACAGTGCAGGGAAAAAGCAAGACAGACAAAAACAACACACAGAGAGAAACGAAACAGGATGTACCATAGTCACCCTCCAAAAATTACTCTTATTTACAGGTGATCACAACACAACACAACACAAATAGCATCAGGAGTCGGACACTAAAAATAAGGTTACAACTACATTTGTTTAGTTTTTGTCAGAGTTTTATGGCACTTGTGACAGTGAGGTCGTATAAGTGCCGAAGATAAGAGAGTAACAAACAAACAAAAGAGAAGGAGGAAAGATCAGGATAATAGACGTTTGATAGGTAAAAAAAAAACCAGAGCAAACCACACCAGAACACCCGCCAACTATCTGCCACTACATTTGAATTTGAGTCTTTTTTAAAAATGCAATTGTAAAACTAATCCACACTATTTAGATCACTTAGGAGGCAAACTGCTTACATCCTTCCTCTCAGAGCCAACCCTGGCAGAGAGAGATACAATGTCCTAGCACAATCACTGAGATTTTCAAAAAAGATGTCCCCAACATGAGACTTGAACTTGCATCTTCTGTATCTGACAGTGAAGCACGTAACTATTACACCATGCGTGCTGATGAGTTTGACTGAGAGTACAAAGAAACAAATTGACACAATAACGATCATTAAGCACAGGGGAAAAAGTCAGACAGACAGATAGAAACACCAGAGGGAAAGAAAACCACAGAGGGAAAAAGTAGAACCACAACATTACACAACACAGGCAATATTGGTTAGATACTGGACAAAGATAACAACAAAATGACACGACACAGTTTAGTTTTAAGTAAAGAAAACCACATTGACACAATAATGACCATTTAGTACTAGGGGAAAAGCAAGACCGACAGACAGAAACACAAGAAGGAAGAAAAGAAACAGGACCTTGAGTTTTGAGTAAACTGAGTGAAGAGAAGCACATCAACACAAGTCATTCAGCACACACAAAAAGAAACAACTGAAGGAAAGAAAAGTAAGACACAACATAGGGACATTGAAGGTCAGATTCTGGACATAGAAGTTTTAGTCTAATAGTTTTAGTCAAGAGAAACACAACACAATAATGCTCTTTTAGTGCTGGAAAAAAAGGGCGAAAAATTGTCTAGGTTTTGCACCCCTGGGAATGCTATAAGGTTATTTCAGGGGCGGGAACTTCAAAATTAAAACATTGGTGTAAAGTGCCTTTCCCAAGTGTACATAGTAGGGTCAAGGTGTGCATTGAATTTAAAACCTGCAATCTCATGATTACACGTAAACCTGCAATCTCATGATTACACGTAAACCTGCAATCTCATGATTACACGTAAACCTGCAATCTCATGATTACACGTCTGGTAGCCGAACTACTAGACTACCAAAGCCACTATTTGCTGGGGAAATGACAACAACACATTCAATTGAGTGCAATCTTACTTAGTGCTGAGATAAAAAAGCAAAGCAGGCAAAACAAACTAAAAAAGAAGGAAAGCAAAAAAGTAGAACATGCTAGTCGCGAGTCCCAACAACCTAAACAGGGCATGTAGGAACCACACATAATAGGACATAGGTGACCACTACATGCTCACACAAGGTGTATGTTTAACAACCTATCCAAGAAAAGCCCTAATGAAGTGGTAAAAGCATTTCTTAAAATATCCTCTTGTCTGTGAGCATTGACTTTTCTATGGAGGGATACGTGTACCCGTTTTCCTACAAGACAAAAACTGGTGACTTTTCTATCAAATAAAGCATAATCTACCAGACGTGACGTCACTAGGTCAAAATAACTATCACACAGTACAACATCTATCATCAAACATAAATATTCTTGGTTACATCAGAAACCTAACTTTTCAAGGATTATATTTACCAGAGAAACAGAAGTCTTCAGGGGTTATATCTTGCGGATGAAAATAACACTTCAAGAATTATATATCTATTAGAAAAACAAAAGTGTTTGTGTGTTATATCTTTCAGATAAAAATAATTACATATCTGTCAGAGGAACAAAACTACTCATTGGATCCATTATCACTACCAAAAAAAAAAAGGGGGAGGTATGAGTATCATGCTTTTTATTCACAAAAGCATACCTGTCATAATGATGTACTGTGATATATATGCATGTGTATGCCAGACTGTGAGACTGAAGAAATAGCGAGTGAGAATGAGAGAGAGAAAAAGAGAGAGATAGAGAGAGAAAAGAGAGAGAGATAGCGAGAGAGGGAGAGAGAAAGAGAGAGAGATAGAGGGAGAGGGAGAGAGGGAGAGGGAGAGAGAGAGAGAGAGAGAGAGAGAGAGAGAGAGAGAGAGAGAGAGAGAGAGAGAGAGAGAGAGAGAGAACGGAAATGTTTTTCTATCTGTATAGAATTAATGTTTTAATGAATGTTTCTAGTTACTCACGTTTCAACTTTATTTTGACTGTTCGTGAATTTTTATTGCATTGTATATTTTTAGTGAACACATTTTCAACCTCACTGCGAGACTGTTTTTCTGGTATAAAATTTTACACATATGCATTTATATTATATGTATAATACTTTGTTTTACGTACACATTTGTGTCGATTAATTTTTAAGATGTGATGTCTTTTTCATTGTAATGCGCATTGAGCATCTTTTAGGAAATGGAAATGCGCAGTATAAATGCTATTTATTATTATTATTATTATTATCATGCAGATGGAGGGAATCTAGCCTACTTACTGGTGATGTTTGGGTGATACAAATGTAGTTTATTATCATATTCATTATTATTAGATCTATTGTTTATAAGGAGAAGAGGTTATCAAAATACGTTATGAAAATCTAATCCGCTCCCAAAAGTAAAGACCAGCATGCAAAGTAGTAGAGCATCGGTAAAGCAAAATTTCAAAATGAAATGATTGAAAATTGAAATGAGTGAGTACATGGTAGAAGAAACAAGCCAAAAAGACATGCGAGATGAAGGTATGATAAGAAAAAGCCCAACAAGAAACGAAAATGATAGTAAATATATCAGGGGGGGGGGGGGGGGGGAGGTGGATTATATGGGGTTAAGAAGTCCAAACCAGCACAGGGGCATAAATGACAATAGTCACAATTTTCTTTCTTTCTTATTTGCCTTTTGTTTCCATTTTTTAAGTGGCTTGTTTCATTTTGTCCATCAATATCATTTTTATCCACCATGTTCTAATCACATGTTTAAAACAGGTCGTACATGGAAAGTACAGCAGTTCTCAGTATGAACACAGGAAAGAAAGGCATTAGTTTTTTAAATTTTGTCCCAGACTAATGTTATCTATCCCCTGTAAACCAGTCAAAAATGAAAATAAGAGAAGACCAAAAACCCATACGAGATGGCAGAAGAATAAAACCCAAAAAAAAAGCCATATGAACTGAGGGGAAAACAATCAGGCCCCAAAAAAGTGAAAGGCGTAAAGTAGGGAGGAGGCAGAAGCCACACCAAGCCATGACAAGCAAAAAAAAGGGTAAATGCTCAAAGCAGGCAAAAAAGGGTGAAGGTCACAGTAAACCCAAAAGAAAAAAAAAAGGTCCAAAGGCCAAGCCAACAAGAAAGGGTAAAGGTCACACCAAGCAGGCAAAGGTTACACAGCAAGCAAAAAACTGTGAGAGAAAAAGACCTGGCTTCTGAGCCGACGACTTGTCGCCACTGCCGGCCGAGGACACCGACTTCTGGAAGCTGTCTACACTGAGCAGGCTCTGAGACAGGCTCTCTGAGTGGGATGCACCACTGGAGGGGCCGGGGCTTGCTGGAGAAGGAAGACATTGGATGACAGGCTGCCCACTGTCTGTTGTGTGATAATGGTAGATGACAGGCTGCCCACTGTCTGTCATGTGATAATGGTATATGACAGGCTGCACACTGTCTGTCGTGTGATAACGTTTGATGACAGGCTGCCTACTGTCTGTTATATGATTATGTTAGATGACATGCTATACACTTTCACGTAAAAATGTCAGATGACAGGTTATACATTGTCTGTCATGATAATGTCAGACGACAGGCTGCACTCTGTCTGTTGTGTAATAATATCAAACGACAGGTTACATACTGTCTGTCAGGTAATAATGTCAGACCACAGCTTATACGGTGTCCGTTATGTGATAATGTCTGATAACAGTTCGTACACTGTCTGTCATCTGATAATGTCAGATGACAGGTTATACCTTGTCTGTTGTGTGATAATGCCAGACAACAGGCTGTCACGTAGTAATGTCAGATGCAAACTGTCTGTCAAGAAATAGTTATGTAAGATGACCGGCTGCACACTGTCTGTCCACAAAACAAGGCTACTTACCACTTAGCACACTAAGCTTGAATATATCAGCCTATCATGCTATAACCTTAGGATATTATCTGACCGTCTTGCCAAATCATCACACTATCTATCATGTCATAACGTTAGATGACAGAGTGTACACCGTCTGTGGGTAGCAATGTTAGACAGCAAAGGGTCTGCCATGTTACAATGTTGGATGACACATTGTCTTTCACAAAAATATGTAAGACGACAGGTTGCCATCTTATAAAGTTAGATGACAGGTTGCACCCTGTCTGCCCCTTTACATTGGTCTGTTCCATTACATACTGTTAGATGACAGGCAGCAACCCGTCTGTCATGAAAAAACATGAGACAACAGACTGCCATGTTATAACGCTAGACGACAGTTTGTCACGTTAAAACATTAGATGACAGTATGTCATGTCTTAATGTTAAACGACATGTCATTTTATAACATAAGATGACTGTAATGTTATAACGTCTGTCATGTAAAAACATGAGACAACAGACTGCCATGTTATAACGCTAGACGACAGTTTGTCACGGTAAAACATTAGATGACAGTCTGTCATGTCTTAATGTTAAACGACATGTCATTTTATAACATAAGATGACAGTATGTAATGTTATAACGTTAAGACGACGGTCATGTTATAACATTGGGCAGCAGTCTGTCATGTTATATAACAATAGATGACAGTCGGTGACGTTATAATGTTAGATGACAGTCTGTCATTTTATAACATTAGATATATAACAGGTTGCACGCTTGTCTATCTACAGACCTGGCTACTTACCACTCTCCACTACTGCACACTTAACCTTGAAAGTATTTCTCCCAGCAATAGCAAAATCCAACTTCAGCCAAAATCGTACCATTAATTTTATCATTTCTGAGCTTGTAAGCCCACTACCCTAATAACACACCAGAATTGTACCCATCTTATATGTAGTATACTCCTGCTATCACATTTATCTATATTTTAATCTCTTTGTGCGTATCATGTTGCACTTTTTCCATTCCTGTACAGCCAGAGAAAAATTTCCCACTGGGATAATAAAGTACCATCTTATCTAAATTACCTTATCTTGCCTTATTTTATCTTATCTCATCTTAACATATCTTACAAACCCACTCCCCCAATAACACACCACC